AGCGTTATGGCGGAAGCTTGTTATTATTTTTTAATTGTTAATTATATTTAATAAAGTAATATAAACGCATAACCGTATAACACAATTGTTGAATAATTGTCAAAAATCATGATTTTTGGGGAATTGATTAAGAAAAAAAACACTTTTATCATTAGCGAATATATTACAATATTGTCTATAAATCGTTGAAAATGCTTGCAGTAACAAAACCAAGTGAGGTTTCCTTAAGACGATTATTTTGGTTTACACAATGCGTTTATAAAATATAAGACAATCTAGAATGGTTCAAGTTTATGAGTCGATTCAATCTGATTCGAACCAACAAATTTGACCGAGGTCGGTCATATGATCGGATCGCTATTCAAATCGTTCTCCCCGAGATCTAGTTGCATCAGTTTATGTAGGTTAAAAAAAAAATTATCAAAATTTTATCATTCCACTTTTTGTCCGTCATTTCCTTGGTTCTAAAGATGTATCGAATGTTTAAAATTTGTTCCAAGCCTGTTAACCTGGTAAAACTTTATTAATGATATTATTAAAAGGACTTTCGAGTTTCATATTTCGAATGCATTAAATTTAAAAGTACAAATTATAGATTTCAACCCAAACCCTTTCTCGAAGCTTTCATGCATCGAAACCAGCTTCACAAGTGATTGCCTCACAACCATTAAGAGCAAAGGAAGCACCCGTAATAATAATATGAAATTTTATTTGTTGTTTCGATATTATTTATTTAAATACTAATTAACAGCATTGCACTTTAATCGACTAGTCTACAATTTCTAGCAAATATCCAGTCATTGATCACTCGTATGATGCTATTGTTGTAGGTGCTGGTGGTTCCGGCTTGCGTGCCGCTTTTGGACTTGCAGAGGCCGGTTTAAATACGGCGTGTATAACTAAATTATTTCCAACAAGATCACATACTGTCGCTGCACAGGTTTGTGCGAAATTCTTTATTATGATTCAATTAAACATGGCAGTTTATAAGCAAGATTCACATTGAATTATGATAATATGAAAGGGTGGTATTAATGCTGCCCTAGGGAATATTACTGAAGATGATTGGCGTTGGCATATGTATGACACTGTGAAGGGAAGTGATTGGCTTGGTGACCAAGATGCAATTCACTACATGTGTCGCGAAGCTCCAAAAACTGTTATTGAACTAGAACATTATGGTGTACCATTTTCTCGAACGGAAGAGGGTAAAATATATCAAAGAGCTTTTGGCGGACAAAGTCTAAATTTCGGTCAAGGTATGTTAACTTTTCATCTTTTTGATTTTTTTTTATGTTTATTGTATAATTCCCTCATAAGAATTTTTTTATTTTGAAAGGTGGTCAGGCATACCGTTGTGCTGCGGTCGCTGATCGAACCGGACATTCTCTTTTACATACGTTATACGGACAATCTTTAAGACATAACACTAATTTCTTTATTGAATATTTTGCCCTCGATTTATTAATGGAAGATGGTACATGTCGTGGTGTTATTGCTCTTAATCAGGAAGATGGAACTTTACATCGTTTCCGTGCTCATAAAACAGTATTAGCTACTGGTGGATATGGCCGTACTTTTTTTTCGTGTACTAGTGCACACACATGTACAGGAGACGGAAACGCTATGGTTGCTCGAGCCGGGTTACCATTACAAGATTTAGAATTCGTACAATTCCATCCTACTGGTATTTATGGAGCTGGTTGTTTGATTACCGAAGGTTTGTAAAATGTTTAGGTCGATCCCATAAATATCAATTACATTTTAATATATATATATATATATATATATAGGCGCTAGAGGTGAAGGCGGTTATTTACTCAATTCTAAGGGTGAACGTTTTATGGAGCGTTATGCTCCTAGTGCAAAAGATTTGGCTTCTAGAGATGTCGTGTCACGTTCAATAACGTTGGAAATCCGTGAAGGACGCGGTGTTGGTCCTGAAGCTGATCATATTCATTTACAACTTTCGCATTTACCTGCGGAAGTTCTACACGAACGTTTACCTGGTATTTCTGAAACAGCTGCAATTTTTTCCGGCGTTGATGTAACCAAAGAACCAATTCCAGTATTACCTACTGTACATTATAATATGGGTGGTATACCTACGCGATATACTGGTGAAGTTTTAACGATTGATGAGGTATATATGATGTTTCAATTTATATGGTTTACCGCCGTCTCTCATATTATATTGATTGATTAAATCCTTACACTTTACAGAAAGGAAATGACAAAATTGTTCCTGGCCTGTATGCAGCTGGCGAAGCCGCTTGCGTATCAGTTCATGGTGCCAACCGCTTAGGTGCCAATTCATTACTCGACATTGTTGTCTTTGGTCGTGCTTGTGCACATCATATCAAAGATACTTTGGAACCAGGGACACCTCACAGACCATTAGCTTCAGATGCAGGATCTGAATCAATTGCTAATCTAGATAAACTTCGAAATTCATCTGGACCAAAACCAACTGCAGAAATTCGCTTAAATATGCAAAAGTCTATGCAACGTGATGCTGCAGTATTCAGAACACAAGCATCTTTGGATCATGGTAAATAAAATCGTTATTTGATTTATTGATTTATTGATTTATTGGTTTATTGCTTTATTATATATTTATTTATTGTCATTTTAACATATTTTATCCAAAAAAAAGGCGTCAAAAAGATTGATGAAGTTTTCAAGTCATTCGCAGATGTGGGAGTTGAGGATCGATCCATGATTTGGAACTCTGATCTTATTGAAACTTTAGAGTTACAGAACCTTTTGACTAATGCTGTTCAGACTATGCACTCCGCATCAGTTAGAAAAGAATCCCGTGGTGCTCATGCGCGAGAAGATTATCAGGTTAATCAACAATTAAGTTAATAGTTTTTTTAAAAAGAATATTGCGTAATGACATTCTTTTTCGACATAACAGACACGTAATGACGAAGAGTGGATGAAACACACACTATCATGGCATGATCAAAAAACAGGACAAGTTACATTAAAATATCGGCCCGTAACTAGTAAAACGCTGGATGAAAATGAATGCGCTAGTGTGCGTGTATATTTTATTTTTTAGCTTGACATTTTTTTTTTTGCTTTTAACTTATTTTCTTTTATTTTACATTACAAATCTATAGGTTCCTCCAAAAGCTAGAGTATACTAAAAAAAATAATGAAAAAATTTTGTGATGTTTTAAGAACTTTTATTTTTTGGTTATCAATTTCACTTTATAGCATCTTTTGTTTCCAATGATGTTATTATATCAACAATCTTTCAATTCGCGATTTTATATGTTGAATTTGAGGTTTAAGTTCAGAAGCTTCATTACTTGTTATGGAAGCAGCAATAACCGCTCGAGATACTCCACAAGCGCGTCCCAACGCAGTCTTTGAAGGAATAAAAACGTATGGAACATTCTGTTATGTTAAATTAATTTACTTTGTTAATAAATTTTTTAAATTCAATAAAAGTTCTTAAAATGATCTTGGTCTACCTTATCTTCACATAATAATGGAAGATGTAATAAAATTTCAATTGGTTCCGTATCTGCCGTCATCACAATAAATTCGGATATTCCACGATTAAGTGTTTTAGTGGCTAAAGATTAATTAAATTAAATGAATGAATGATATAATTAAAAAATAAAAAAATGTTTTAGAAGGAAATGAATAATACCTTCATTAGCACCTTTCTTCAATTGCTTATAATGTAAAGCTTGTTGAACGAGATCAAGTATTTGGTTTGTTAAATCTGCATCAGCTAAGGGAAATGCTTTAGGGTTGACAATTGTTGCAGCCTTGTAACAAATAAAAAAAAAATAATTAAAAAATAATTTTTTTAAAAAAAAGGAAAATAAAAAAAAAAAAAAAAATTTTTTTTTTTTTGATAATTTACCATCTAGCGAATTTTTAGAAGTAAAAAAAATAATTGATGTTCATTATATATAAAAAAATCTGATTACAAAAAAATTTTTTTTTATATAATTGATTTTCTACCCAAAAAAAAAAAAAAATGCGTTTAGAAAAATGTTACTTTTGTTCTTCCACAATATATCCTGGTCATGGGACCATGTTTGTTAGAAATGATAGCAAGGTAATAACAATTTCTCTATGGTCACTACGGAAAGTTTTACCAATAATTTTTATATATACATTTTTTTTAGATATTTCGCTTCTGCAGAAGTAAATGTCATGCTGCCTTTAAACACAAACGTAATCCTCGCAAAGTTCGTTGGACTAAAGCATTTAGAAAGGCTGCTGGCAAAGAAATGACCATTGTAAGTTACTTCACGCCTTTTTTTTTTAACAATTATAAATTTTTTTTTTTGCTTTTCAGGATTCTACGTTTGAATTTGAAAAACGTCGTAATGTACCAGTTCGATACGATCGGGAACTGTTGGACACAACTATTAAAGCTATGAAACGAATTTCCGAAATTAAAGCCAAGCGTGAACGCGTCTTTTACAAGAACAGGTTATTAATCATGATTCATTCAAAAAAAAAAAAAAAAAAAAAATACTAGCTCGTTAAATTATATTAATCAAACTCTTTTTGATTATAGAATGTCTGGCAATAAGGAACGTGAAAAAGCGGAGAATATACGCGAAATTCAAACGAATATTGAACTCATTGGAACTTCTACCAAGATTAAAGCACAAGTTGCCAAAATTACAGAGAAATCACAACACAATGCTGACATGGAAATTTCATAATTAAATGTTCCTATTCAAATTCATTAAAGTATTCTGCTTAAGTTTGCTTTATTATGGATAAGGAAATTCATTATATTTAATAGTATATGTTTTACACATTTAAAAAATAACAATATAATTTACGTTAGATGTAAAATAATTAAATGATAATTTCTCGCTTTCATTCCAATTTTCTTTTAATATTTTTGAATTTAACAAGTTTAGTCAGTCTAGTTTTTTCTCTCATCGGGTGTTGCATTTCCCATAATAGATCATCTCGATAAAATTGTATGGCTGATAATAAATGTATATGTGGAATTAGACTTGGAAATCAATGAAACAAACAAAAAAAAATATATATATATAAAAAGGATTTTCTTTTTCCTTTTGAATTATCTACCTTCTTCAATATTATAATTCGATTGTTCCATATAAAACTTGGCTTCTATTGGGTCAATACATTTAGATTGTATCTGAAAACGTTTTACCAAGATTTTGTTCTCTTTATAAAATAAATGTGCATAATGAAATTTAATATATTAATATAATATCATTGAGTATCTATCATAATTCTTATTACCTTCTTCCTCTGAAAGCTTTTCTGATAAAGAAGGTCCATCATAATTTGGGATAATTAAAGTCGAACGAGCTATAATCTTGTCATCAAATAATCGATTTGCTTTACGAATATCTGCTATCTAATGTATATATTTAAAATGTAACATATTTAGGGAAATGCTCGGAATTACATTGATTTTACTCATGAATTTTTTAAAATTAAAATACCTCGACTCCATATCTGAAAGCCAACCCAACTAAAGTATCATTTTTCTTAACATGATGAATCGTACCAAAACTCAATTTCTCGTTTGATTTTTCATTAAAAGAATTTGCTTTCAAAAAGTTTGAATTATTTAAATCATTGTAAATAACTTCCTCGTATGTTGGTAAATTATCCAATTTATTATTTCTTTCACAAGTCAATGCAACTTTTTGACAGAATGGACAATAAGTATAAAATCTTGGGTTACCATCTAAACAATTATAACAAACCCAACGATTACAGCATTTTGACAAAAATGGTGTTTCAATCGTTGAAGACGACACCGAGGCAAAAAGAACATGACAAATAAGGCAGGATGTATTTTGCATAATTTAAATTAAAGAAAATGATTTAAAATAAAAATATGTTTTTTGAATTTATTGATAATTTATATTAGTAATATGATTTACTATATTCCGTTGACTTATATATATCTGTCACACCGCGTCACACCCACCGTGTTTAGCACAGCTCAAATGTGTGTAGGTTACGCCGAATATACTAGCCCTGTTCCCAATTAAAAATGGCGAGAATTGAACAGATAAATGCCGAGTTGATCTGTTCCATTTTTAAATTTTAACCAATCATGTTAATTAAACACGATGCAGACTATGCTTTATTCTTATTAATAATGGAGGAGATAGATGATTCTTTTAAACCTAAATGAACTAGATGATGATAACTATGAACTAATAAAAATAGTTCTTCTTGCTTTGTCTTCTAGTCGTTATCTTGTTTCTCG